AAATATTGGGCTAATCAATATCTTAGTTACGTTATGTTCTTATTAGTTTAGTGTCCAGCTAATCTATAATTAAACAATTAGGGGTCGTTTTTTCCAACCCCAGATAAATTTTAATTGAAGAATAACTTTGAATTTGACAATTGTTCCGTAATTGTCCAATGTCAATTTTATTCTACAGTTAAGAATTAGCTGATGATTAAAAAACTAGCCCTTAATCCTTTATTTTTACCCTCATTATTATCATCGTCTGACCATTTCTATCCACTGCCAGAAAGGTTTCTCCAAAAGTACTTATTGTCAAGTTCGAAACGATTATCCATTGCGCTGAGAAAATATACATGTTTTGAAAGCCATTAACTGCAGTACCTCGGTGACGTAATCCGACCCCAGATAGCATTAATACAAATGTCTAAGTTTCTAGCGAGAATAAACGGCTCTTTACATTTATAAAGAAGTTATCAACAGAAGTTTTACTTTCAAAAATGTGTTATAATGGCTGAAGTAGTTATGTTTAATTCTGGATGATATGGTGTTGTTTGGTAGATGTATTTAGATATAGAATTTAGGAATGAGCCTCGTTCTACTAAGGACTGCATTTTTTTAAGGGGTGATGTTCACCCAATGCCTTGGGTGAGGCGAAAGGGGATGTCAGACTCTTACTGACTAAAAACCACCCCCGTTCCTACTCCTACTTTGAACCGGAGCGCGGTAACCCGTAAAGTTGTTCGCAGCTCCGGATATTTAGGAGTGCTAAGGACTAATAAACTCCTTCAGCAAAATACAGATATTTGTGGAAAATAGACCAAAGAGACTGTAAATTCAAATTACTACATGATATTGGTCCTTTTGTACGCGTCATTTCATAGCATCTAGTGCGGTCAATGCGTTGGCGATGTAACGCAATGTTACGATACTACACTAACTACACCTCGGGAACTATTACGAGGTGGACACATAAAACACAATCAATTCAAACACCGAGACCGACCGTATAAAACAGATTTATTTCATGTGCTCTTGTCACAGACTTTCCTTGGGGTCTTCGTGGTTTTGTTTCAAGTAGGATATCAATCAAGTGTTGGGGAAGGATTTATTAATACCTGACTAGACTTTTCATGCTCATCCGAAGCAGATGATACCTATCTACAGTATCTACCGGTCTACGCAAAGATATTCTTAATAAGTTTTAATTAATTCGTGAACTATTTTAATGTCGATCGCGATCATTAAGCCAATATCTATAACAGTTTGTTAAGTCGACATTAATAATAAACAACCATTTATTATTATTGGTTCTCAAGCCGTTTACAGTATACTGACATAAAAATATCTCTCCGTAATGAGCAAATATGACAATCATTATCTTAAATCGTGTTTAATTCTAGGAGAGGCGCTGTGCGGATTAAGTACTAACAGTCATTGTAGCGAGCTGATCGCTCAAGAAATGAAGTACGCTTTAATGTCATATTACTTTTAAGAGTTTTTTTATTGCAGCTACCGGTTATTTGCAGTAGATAATGATATACCCAGCCGGCTAGCGGCTGCGGGATCGCTGCTCCTAAAAAGATCTAATTGCGTCCTATAGTGTCGCATCGTTTATGCGACCTTTAATTTGTTGATGCACAGGAGCCCCTGTCTTTATATCCACGGTTTTTTTCTCCAAACCAGTTTACTGTCTTCTCTTAATATGTCAAAGTAACACGCTCCGAGTCATTAACTTTGTAGCGCTTCAAATAGGTTTTTCTTCGCTTTTTGTGATAGCAAAGGCGCTTTTTTCAACAGCTCGCTAGTTAAAATAATTAGAGGATTCATTAACTATGAGGAAGGGTGTCCACTGGAACATGTCTGCGACTTACTTTACAACTGCTTTGTTGCTTTTCTTATCAATATTTTTTCTGCTGGGTGAGTGCATATTGTTATTTTTTTTCTTCCCTGGGGCTGGCAATGAAAACCAGCTTGTTTTGCATTTTTATTGAAGCTTGCTTTGTTTTTCAAATTAACAATTTCCCGTCCTGATACTCTGCTGGCGTGTGTATCGCAAATGTGATGTGAATAGACGAGCGCATTGAGGCAATATTAATGAAATTCCATTCATGGACATATAACTGGTTGATGCGGCGTATAAAAATGCTCGGCTAGTTAATTATAATGTTATCGTGCGGGGTGTGTCGCCCCCGGCGGCGGTGGCAGGGTGCGCTCGCCCATCTCACGAGAACGCCACAACAATGTTGAGAAACGTGACGGGCTTATGTGATCAATAGTTGCATGAAAGTCGAGAACAATGACTATGAGAGCTAGTCGCGAGAAACTGTCGCGGGTCATAGCGTTTTTGCACAATATTGTGATCTCCGCGGCCGCTTGAGCGCCCCAATAAAATGCTGATTAACATTTTTCTTGAGAGCAAAAACCTAATCAATTATAAATGTCGCGTTAATTTAAGTATTTAATCTTTTTTGAACGTGATGCAGTGAGAAAAATCCACGGCTGCATAATTTGTTATTAAACAATGGTTGCTAATAAATGTAGTGTCTTAGTAGGCTTTTAACACGTTACTACCAAGATTAGTTGCATTTATTAATATTAATACTTACTTTTTTACCAAAACTCCCAATATTCTGCTACAAAACAACCAGTGACAAAAGAGATATGTCCCGTTAAATGCATTGAGAGTAAATGGTCCAAAATATTTACTTTGTTCTGAGAAGGGCAGATTTAGGGAGGTCGTTACGAATACTAAAGCCTTTAATTGGTTCAAAAATCACATGATTTGGGAAATTTTATTGTAACGGTTATGTAGAGAAAGCAATTGGCTCCAATGGTATATTTATTGTCGCTATTTATCTGGCCAGAGAATGGCGGGAGGGAACGAGTTTGCGTGGTGGTAAAAACTCGGCTGGTGCCGAAGCGGGAATGTATCGGCTCCCGGCGACTCATGGAGGAATTTCATCCGGAATCTCTAATTAAAACTTTATCTAGTCTCTCTCCTGATTCGTGGAAAACGTTCTATTGTACAGACAGAACTACCATTTCGAACATAGCTAGTTATTAAAATATTTTAAATTAAAGTCGTCATCGGTATTCCGTCCGGTTGCCCGCTCCGTTACATTTTATTCTATTTGATTGGTTCCAGTTTAATCAGCAGAGTAGTTTACCGCTGGGTATTATCAATGTCAAAATGCAATTATCGTTAAGACATTGTACGGTAATAAACGGTTCGTATCTTAGCAGGATGAGTGTTAACGGTGCACCGGTGTGCATCATCTGTAAGGGTTAAAACTCTATATACGGCGGACAGTAAAAAGGTGGCTGGCATTACGCAGCAGACGTTTATTAATATTTGTGTGTCAATTAACATTTTTCACAACAGTTAATTTGCGGATAACTAGAGTGCTAAAAAGGGTTCTTGGACAAATGTATTATATCAGATACACGTTTATAGAATTCGTCGAAACTTGCCTTAATGTTTGTTCAACTGCGGAGTCCGTGTGAAATACATGCACCCAGTCTGTGGAAACGTGGGAGTTATGATTTATGTATCTAATTTCTAGAACCGATTAGATCGATAGTTTATATCCGTTTTAATTTATCTAATTTGTTTCAATGACGTAATAATTAAATATTAATAATAATTTAACGTTTTGCTAATTTGCAACCAATTCAAATTTATAATTGTCACTAATGATATTATCAATAATTTTTGAACTTGTAACAGATGGCCAATTAAACCGCTTAGCTAAATATGTGATGTTTTGGTTGGTATACCCAAAATTTCAGCGCTAGCGATGTTTGGTGACTCGAAAGTGCAAATTCCCGTCGCATCGCGTTTCGATGACGTGCTCGTCGCGTCGTGGTCATCATTCGCGACCACTCGTTTCACAAACTCCGAAATGCTAAAAATGGCATAAATAATTTATACGTGGCTTGCTCGAGCTCCGTTTTTGTCGCGGCCGACCTGTCCACTGATGCATTTATAATATAAGGGTGCTTTTTGCATCGTCCCCCGGCGGCACTGGAATGCAACCGCTAAAATTGATCATGTTTCAAACGTGAGCTGAAGGAGTAATGCTGGTGGTGCTTGCTCACTGCGGTCAGGCTAAAATGTTGCGGTTCAGCCTAATGCATGCGAGTAATGTGTATGTATTGTAACACCGGATCCGACCCGTGATTCGTGCATACGGCATTAGTTATGCCTGCCATTACTACATACCTATTTCGATCTAAACCGTGACGCTACATTAGACAATACGATCAACTTGACAAAAGGCTGGCCTGAGATACTTGTCTGATGAATACAATTACAATAAAATCATAGTATATTTCTTAGATTGTTTTTGGAGTGAAATGAAAAGCCCAGAAAGGAATGATAACAATGAGCCCTCCAAATGTTTCCGAACAATATCGTAATGTAAATATTTTTATTATCAATTAGAAACTTGGGGAGTTTTTCGTCGTCTTATTCTAGTTGCGTATTATTCTTGTCTTGATTTTATTTCAAAGTTATGTTGTTTGAATTCGAAAGGCATTTCATTTATTTAAAAAAGAGTTATGATACCAAATACTGCATACACAGGTAACGGTTACATAATAATATTTAGGTTGATGTTTAAATATTTTAATGAAGATGTACGTACGCAATACTTTTTAATGCTTTTGCCTAATTAAAGGCAACTTTCTGCAATTATTTGTTTACATTAAAACATCTGCGCCATAATTAATTGAACTTTAAAACTGTCAAAGGAATTAAACGTCGATCATTTGTCTTGTGCTGTGTTAATTGAATTAAAACCATAAGACGATAATTATAGGTCTTATAATTGCTGTGCTGTAAGCGTGACATTACAATTTGCAATTATTTAAGTTTTTATGGGAAACATTTTATTTCTGAGTTATTATGATTATGAATTAGTATTCTAGATGGGTATCGATTTGATGACATGTAGAGGCATGTTTGTTGATGTAATTTGTAGAAAATTGTTAACATGCAGTTTTTTTTGTTGCAGTAAACAGGCCGTGTTTGATGGCAAGAGGGCGATACGAGGTGGAATACCGTTTGTTTTCCGTAAGTGAAGATAATTCTATATATACATACTTAAGGCTATCTACTATGAATTAATAATAAAAGCTACTGTTATATACAATATGTGTACTGCTAGTTTTTTCAAACTAGTATTTTCTAAAATTCCCTTTCGGTTTTCTTTCTTTGTTACAATATCCTATTTCATTTAAAATGTGGTCCTTTGGCACTATAAAGGACCACATGTTCTGTTACGGTTTAAATGGGTGTTTTTTTTTAAATACAGTGTTTATTTGAATCCCTCACCGATAATACAGAATACACAAAAATTAACATGTACTGGATACGACTTTATTCGGACTGCTTTTCTTATTTATCAGATTTAGTTATGGCATACACATGGAGTCTATTGGTTCCTTGTTATTTATTGATTGCATAGAAGTTTTCGTTACAATAATATTATTATTTAGTAATGCGTGACGACAGAGATTATAATACTTACTTATGTCACTACCACTACTCCGTGCCACATTTGATAGAGATCAGGCCGAAGCGCACTCTAATAAAACTGAATCTTTTAAATAACGATCTCTATTCGATACTCTATGCAAGCGTGGCAAACTTCTATGAGTTTAAATAATCAATGCTGGACTATTCCAGCATTGATTTTTTTGGTGGTGAATGTTAGAAGTAGTTAATTCTAGACAAAATTATTATAATATTATATTGAAAATTCCAGCTCAATTCGGTCAATGGGCGTTCGGTCCGCAGCACGGGTTCGCCCGGATAGCTCGCTGGCACGTCGAGAAAATGCCGGAGCGACTGCCCAGCGGCGACGTCGAAGCTGTCTTCAGCCTCATGGATGACGATTTTACTAGGTCCATGTGGCATTTCCAGTTAGTACATTTTTCTTTGCATAAAATCGTCTATTCATTGTGTGGGTATACCTTTGTATCGTAAGAATTTAACTGTTTTATTCATTGGGAATACAACTTTTCCGCCTGTCCAATGACAAGGACCAATTCAAAAAGTTGACGTTGGCCGTCAGGAATGAAGTGGCACCATAAGAAGAAGAATTCAGTGGGTTTATGGGGGCTTAGGTAGACTAATTGTTGAATTCAACAACCAATCTTAAATCAAAATATCTCTGCGGACACCTTTACGGGTTACCGGGGCTACGGTTCAAAGGCAAAGTAGGAACAGGGTGATTATTAGTCAGTAAGGGTCTGACACTCTCGTCTTACCCAAGGGGGACGAAGTCATTGGATGATTTTCCCCCTTAAGATATCTGGATCTATCCTGATTTTCGGCAGAGATTCCATAGAGCTCATGTAGAAAATAGTTCTCGAACCTGTATCTTTAGCCAAACGCCACTTTAGCGCTTGTCTACAGAGAGTAGAAATCAAAATGTATGGGGATGACATTGGCAAGTGTCAAAATTTACGTCAATTCCATATAATTTGGTTTTCTATTCTACATGTAGACAAGCGCTAAATGGCATTTGGCTGCAGCTGCTGCATTTCAATAATGGGGATGAAGGCAAACTCTCTGATCCAGTAGTGGACTATAACAAGCCGTTGCACTATTTATTTTTTTATTAATTCCTCAACATCTTCCCCCAGGTTCAGACTGACATACAGACTGATCCTCCGCGAGAAGGAGCTGCACTTCAACATCGGCGTGTACAACCCCAGCAAGGAGCTCACCTTCAGCTGCCAGATGTTGCTCCACACCTACTTCAAGGTGCCCGACGTCAGGCGTTGCCAGATCACCGGAATGCATGGCTGCATGTTCATCGATAAGGTATATTCATTTTGTTTTATTTTTTTACAGTAAATAAAAAATATTTTTTTTAATACTTAGCGTATTGCACTAAATATCCGTTGAAATTTCAATTTTCTACTGAAGTGTACATTTGTTCACTATTATATCTATGAACTATGGTCCATGATGGCGCCTCAAAGAGCCATCAGACCACCACAGATGGGGCCCAATAGGGCCGATGCCGATTCGGAGTCGCGGAGAACCTAACGGGTAACCGGGGCTCCGGCTCGACGTGCAGGAGAAGGAACGGGGTGGTTTTTAGTCAGTAAGAGTCTGACACTCACTTCCGCCTCACCCGGGCGGGAGCAGTCATTCGATGATTTTCCCCCCTTAAAAAAAAAAAAATGGTCCTCAGAAGTGTGTCTGAAACCAGTTTGACAGTCACTTACAAACTCCCTATTTGCTGCTCCCAACCATAACTTTCCTATAATGGGGAAATAATATTCTTAGAATTGATGGCTGTAAGTCAGCTACTAAACAAGTAGACTTTTTATAACCAATTTTGAAAGTAAGTACCTAAATGATGATACCTTTTTTAAAATATTTATGCAACTTATTTTTTTTGCCATGTTGTAATGACGTCATTGGTCAAAGGTTGGCTGTTATGACGTCTGTATACATTTGACGTCATAATTTCTATTCATATTGTCACATCCGAGATCAAGTGACGACATGACAAGTTGTCTAATTGTTCTTAACCGTCGAAATGTCAAGAAATGATTTATTTTCATTTTTGTGTGTCATTTGCGTCATTATAACTTCATAGGGTATTGTTATAGCGATCTTATGTGACAGTTCTATAGGTCAAAGTCATTAACAGTTACTGTATTAATATTTTATGTCATTAAATAATCCGTAAATAAATTAATTTTAGCTACAAGGCATTTTTATAAGTTATGCAAGCAGCAAATATGTATTTGTTGACATGTCTCCCATAACCTCAGATTTAATCTCATGCTGTCTGGCTGTCCCTTGGCTTCAAGAACTGACCCTTTGCCGCGCTTCTATTCTTTATCGTAGTCGTGACGAAAGCCTACAAAACTCATTATCTTCTTCGTTCTTGAGATTAAAGACTTCTTTAGTCCTACATATAAAAACCTAGAAGACAGGAGTTTTTTTTTTATGGCATAAGCCGGTAAACGAGCACACGGATCACCTGATGGTAAGCAATCGGCGTCACTCATGGACACCTGGAACACCAGAAGCGTTACAAGTGCGTTACCGGCCTTCTGGGGATTAGGAGTTTGAGGATCGTTGGGGATTCAGGGATTGGGAAAATTGGGGAAGATGAGGGTAATTGGGCCTCCGGTAACCTCACTCACACGACGAAACACAACGCAAGCGTTGCTTCACGTCGGTTTTCTGTGAAGCCGTGGTATCACTCCGGTCGAGCCGGCCCATTCGTGCCGAAGCATGGCTCTCCCACACTTAACCTTCAACCTTCTTTATATATTGTAGACTCGAGAAGGCGCAGTGTACCAGGAGACGCGCGAGGTGGTGACTATCAACGAGTGGACGGACAGGATCTACCAGAACACGATGCAGGAGCACATCATCACCAACGTCGTCAGCGGACGCAAGATGAGGATACAGAAGTACAACTTCCCCGATACTGGTGCGTACACTGTCTACTTTATTAACCTGTTGAAATATCATCCCCTAAATTTGTTCGTACAAAATTAGTTTCTATACGTCAGAAATAAGGTCTATAATGTAGTTAGTGGAGAGAGGTCACCGGTGACCGCTTGGGGTAGGAATTAACTAAAAACCGCAGGTTATTCACGTGAATATACTGGGAAAAGCTCTACTAGTTTCGAACCACATGTCTTCCTCATGAGCACCGTGCGCGGTCGCGGCGATATCGCGCAGCCTACAGCCTATTCACATGAGTAACACGCGATTTTTAGTTCATTTAGTATGTCTCACGATTGTTATTATAAAAACTTATTAATAGGAAATTGGAAATGTCTCAAGTTTGGAAATAGACCGTGCCAATGAAGGAAATAGATTAGACGTTAAGTACTTACTTACTTACTTATTTGCTTCAAAGATTTTTAATTATCTAGACCGTTATACAACTTTCTAAGTTTGTCAGAATCGGAGCAACAGTAATTTCTGACACATACATCTAAAAATGGTTAATGGGTTTTTTTCTACTCAGAGTAGTCAGTTAGGAAATGTCGACCTCATCGTTCGCTTGATAAAATTGACGTGTAAAAGTGCTGCCTTGTAGCCTATTTGCAGAAATAAATTCACTTGTTTCACTTGTTACGTTGATTTGATTTTATTTATTATAAAAATCTTCCTACATTCTCATTACAGGATGTTCCCAATCCGACAGCGTGCTGTGTGTGATTTTGATCGTATGACTGACGAAAATTGGAACTTTTACATTAAAAGTGTCTAGAAGACACTTTTACTACTTACTTACTACTCCTTCATCGTTCTCTCTTTACTATAAATGTTTTTATTCATAATTGGTATCTCCTCAGTAATCTGGAACCCATGGGCGGAGTACGCGAAAGAGATCCCTGACTTCGGCGACGACGAGTTCCCGAACATGGTGTGCGTGGAGGCAGGCCGCGTCGCCGCGCCCATTGTACTGCTGCCCGGCACCGCCTTCGAGGCCAGCCAGATACTGCAGGTCACCGTCTGAATCTTGATATATTCTAAATCTAAATAAACTTGTGCACTGCTTGATGTAAAACAAAAATTTATAGACAGTCGGTAACATTTAAGGAGTAACTCGTGCTTTACCGATCTTTTACTCTATATTTAAGTCATTAAAGTCTGATTCTCAAATCAGACTGATTAGCAAACCCCAAAGTCTCAATCCTTAAATCCTAACACCCTGGACAGGCCCGGTTACTTACCATCACGTGATTCATCTCCTTGTTTGCCAAATCACAAATAACTTTTCTTTGTTCAACTCTTCTTAATTTACTGTAAATAAGTGACACCACTCAGTAAGGTTTTATTTGATCGAATGTAACTAAATTCGTTTCTATGATTTGCAGGTTATGTAAGAGACTGGGCGACCCACATACAACGCAGCCGTCCACAGGAGCCGAGTCTATTCAGATGTACTCACTCGCCGGCCACGAAGCCAGGGCTCTACGCATCATTCCTCTACACTATGGCATATACTGGCTCTAACTTCTTCACTAACGGTAAATGTTTAAATTGTCATTTCTAGACGCATTTTTCATTCTGATTCTGTAAATTAACTTTGCTGTAATCGTGAATATTAGATAGAGCGACTTTCGGTCCTCTACAATCTACTAAGGAAGAAGATACCTTCAATTTCTTGGTTAGAATTGAGCTTCTAACTACTGTCAAGCTGTAACTGCTGTCAGACAATCTGACTAGATAATTTAATGTTACTACAGAAACTAGTATATGCCATTTTGTATAACTCTTTTACATAGTAAACGAATAATCATTAGTATCCCAGTAATTTTTGTACTTTTGCAAATATCAGTAGGTTCAAATATTCATACATCATCGTCATTACTTCTAGTTGTAATTAAATACAATTCGTTCGAATGTCAATTTTGTAGCATAGACATGTCGTGGGTTTTAGAAACCTAACGATGTTCGGAACTTTTTTGTAAATTCGACTTTAGAGTTGATTATGTTGTTTGACAAACTTCATTGTTTATTAACAGTTTTTAAGTACAATTTAACTCGTCGAGTACCGGTTTTATAGACACAATTAAAGAACAATAGGTCGCGGTCACCGGTGACCGCTTGGTGTTTGACAGATTAAAGCATTTTTGTTACAATATAATTTGGAAATACATGTTTTTTTTACACAAATTATGTACTAATATTACTGAAATTATCAGTTTTAAGCTCTACTCGAGCGAAAAATAAGTAAAATTAATAATTTGTCTTTTAGGGTGTATGTTAACTAAATCATTCCGTATGTACAATTAATTTTACAAATATTATTTTAGTTTCACATTAAAATCCTTCTTTTAACGATAATACGCACAAACTCAACTTCATTCCATAGATTATTTCAAATGTGAATTGTTTTTACAGTAGCAATTAATTAATTTTGAATCCTATTGTATACATGCAAGGTTCAATATGCATCTTTGGAGGAATTTTATAACAACTGTATACAAGATAAAAAAAAATGTTTAGCTATTAACTTTCTTTAGACTATATAGTAATAATATCATTCCCAGAACAAGTCTAGCTCGGTATCATCACGAAATAATGTGACAATCGAATCGAAAGACATTATTTTATATCGAGTGGAGGTTACGTTTCTATTGTTTAATTACTTGCTGCCTTTTCATAATAATATTGTTATAATCTTGCCAAATGGTTTCTAAAACTTTTCTTGTTTGTTTATATATTTACGATCAGTTTCACAATTTGTTAATTCACTAGGTAACATAAGAGTAAATTTTTTATGAGAACTTGTAGAATTGTTAATTTTTTCGAAAGGGAATTGATCAAAATAGTATCGAGAATGCTGTTGTAAGCGTTTCATCCATGTTGGATCAATGTCACATCATAACATAACGCTTTTCATCCCCGATAGGTTTGGCAGAGGTGCTTATAATATACAATGTAAGAAACACTCAGTTTTCATTCATTAGTTATGTTATAATTAATTTAAGTTGCAGTCGCAAGTGCGGCTGCCGGGCAAGGGGTCTCGGGTTCGATTCCCGGGTCGAGCAAAGTATTACTGGATTTAAAAAAAAATTCTCAGTAGTAGCACGGAGTCTGGAATTGTGCCCGGTATATGGCAATAGGCTCACTCCCTATTACATGGGACTCATAACATAAATAGTGAAAAGTGAGTGTTACTTCTGTGTGCACCTCTGCCTACCCCTTCGGGGATAAAAGGCGTGACGTTACGTTTAAATAAAACTTATTTAGCACAATACCATCATGCCCATCATAATACTTTTCTAGTGTGTTTGTGTTCTATCATGAACGTAGTGCTTACTTCAGTATGGAGGTCGAAATATTTTTTTAATAAAATTAAAATGGTGTGTCTATGGCCTAACCAGCTTCCTTCTGTCTTCCGCTTATTTTCTACTCTTGTTGTCAATTTGTTCTGTTGGTTTTTCTATGTATTTAGCTATTAAGGTACCTCAGATTTATTTTTAAGCCGCTTTCTTAACGCTACTGTTAATACATATGCTTGGTTACTGTAAAAGCATAGAAATATGTCTGTTGGTACAATTTTTTAATTCAGTTTACAAAGATAAGTACCAAATTGAGAGTGTAAATGCGAGAATTGTGCACAAATTTTTATATCAGCTCAATGAAATTAGTAACACTTTGTATACGTGTTTAGGAGATGAGGTGCTAAAATTAGAAGTGTTCTGTTCTTTGCAAAATGTTTTATTTCGGTAGTCAATGATGAGAATTTTTGAGATTGCTCTAGAGGCGTTAGGTCATATTAGTCTAATCAGCTTATGTCGGAATACTCAAACGCTACTCAATTTTAAGTCGCGCTTAAGTATAGTTGCTGTTACTACAAATTCTTTGTAAAATGACAGAGATGGCACGATATTTGAGCACGACTTAAAATTAAGTAACGTTTCAGTATTCCGGCATTAGTTGTTATAAGTTGACTGACTAATGATTTCAAATATTGTATTGGTCAGGCTTCAAGGTCCACTAGCGCCTCTAGTGACGCAAGACATTATATTTGCTTTGAATATGCACTAATAAATTGTCATAATAAAACTGTTTCTATGGGGTATAAGAGTTTTAAATGCCAATTCGCATTTTGAATAACAGTGTAACGATTCAATGTTTGTAATTCAGTCAAAGTAATGCTTTATAGTTTTGTATGCCAGTTTGTCATGTTTCCTCCTAGCAGTAATACTCAGGCCGCTTTAGTAACTTATTATTGTACCATTAAGTAACAGTTAACTACTTAGCATAAACACTAATAATAAACATCGTCATATCACATTCAAGCGAATTTTCTATCTTTAACATAAAAATAACGAAATTTAAAGTATTTTTTTCCCCTCTTTGGCAAACGAGAAATTTAAAGTATGTTTTTAACTTCAAAAACATTTCCATTGCTCCACTGTATGTAATTGTCAGTGCGCACACATTCTGTAGAATATTATATGATTTTTTTTTAGTACATGTATTTTGTACATTTTGTTTTATTCTCTCTAAATATTGGAACGTTTTTGGAGGCTTTTAAAGTATACGAAGATTAATGTAAGAATATGTACTTAGATATAACGAGTTCCTTGTTTTAAATACAAACATTTGGGTAGGTATTTTGTACTAAATGACTTTGTATTGTCAATAACAATACATTGTTGTTAATTATTGTTATTATGTATAAATAATAAATATACATTCTGTAGTGTCTTGATGCTCTCTCAATGTAGAGGTAGAATTAAGATTAAACTTCATTAAATATTTGATCCATAGTTTTTAAGTCAGTTTTTGACTTTTATGTCCATTTATGCCAAGTGAGTCTTAGGACTTTCATAATTAATAATTGTATTTGTAAACTAACTTGCTGGGCTACTATGAATAGTGTCCAGACAACGAAATATGCAACGAAGTGTACTTCCTTAGGTGCAATAAAGTGAAGTAAATGGCATTTGTGGTTTTATTTTACATACCTAAATTACACCTATTTTTTGACAACTATGGGGTATAAATCCCATGTATTATGGCTATTAAGGAGGCCATCTCATTGTCAGTTACTACCATATTATACTTAGAACTTTCTGCTATATAATAACACTGCTTCAACCGGAAGTAATGTGCTTAATAAAATAAACTCGGGTCCTTTCTGAGACTATTTTCATTAATCATTCACACCACGACAATTGACCACTGACGATACAACGAGAATTGTTTTCTGACGTGACCTTTGACTGAGATTTTATAGGTAACTAGCGGACCCAACAGACGTTGTCCTGCATATCCACTTGAATGTATAAACAAAAATTCATTCAAATTAGTTCAGCTGTTTAAGATAAATAACCTAAACACCGACTGCAGCGCCATCTGCTGGGCTGATTTGTGAATCTTAACCATTCCCAGAACTGAACACATTGAACACACACAAAAAATGTCATCAAAATCGGTCCAGTCGTTTGAGAGAAGTTCAGTGACATACACACTCACAGAAGAATTATATATATAAAGATTGGGCCAAATAAATGCATTTTCTTTCTACTTGTGCCTGTGCCGTTTTAATCCCCATCCCCAATCAGTAAATGTTGTGTTTACGTCGTGTTATGTTGTGTTATGAAGCATTAGGGGGTTGTGAAATGTCGTTATTTTTTAGCTAGGGCCTCTAGATTTTGAAATATTGCAATATTTTCAAGTGGCTTTGAAGTAGACCAGTCTTATTTATTAATTTATTGCACACATATTACATTTGTCATTACAGACAAGACAATGGTATCGACAGCTATATATTATACAAATTTAGCAGAAAAATAGTAACATTGACACTTACAGATTCACACTTTTTTTTTTTTTTTAAGGGGGGAAAATCATCGAATGACTGCTCCCGCCTGGGTGAGGCGGAAGGGAGTGTCAGACTCTTACTGACTAAAAACCACCCCGTTCCTTCTCCTGCACGTCGAGCCGGAGCCCCGGTTACCCGTTAGGTTCTCCGCGACCCCGAATCGGCATCGGCCCTATTGGGCCCCATCTGTGGTGGTCTGATGGCTCTTTGAGGCGCGCGCGGAACGCTACGCGCCGTACGCTCGGGTCTGTTTCTGGTCGGACGGGGAGCCACCCATGCTCGCCGTCCGCAGGCCCGCGCTTACGGTGGCCGGAGATCGTCCCGCGATCCCCGACGCCCGGTGTGTCCTTCGCGATGGCTGGGTTGCGAGGAGGCAGCGCTTCGCTGCCTCACGCGTCCCGCCTCCTCCTTAGCTAGCATGACTGCTTTGCAAAAGGAGGAGACGGCATCCCAGTCCCCCTCGCTCCGCATCATGGCCTGCACTAGGCCCGGACGCGAGAGGTCGCCATCGCCGATCACTTCCCTGAGGGCACGGCGGTGCTCAGCCCACGCAGGGCATTCCGCTACGGTGTGTTCCACCGTGTCCTCAGGGCGGTCCTCGCAGTGATGACACCCGGGCGTTTCCTCCCGCCCCATCAGACACAGGTACCTCCCGAAACTTCCATGTCCGGTGAGGACCTGTGTCAGGCGGTAGGTGAGGACGCCGTAGCGTCTCTCAAGCCACTCCTCAAAGAGGGAACTTACCACTGCAATGGCAGCGAGCCCAGCCCTCGGTTGCGACAGTCGTTGCTGCCATTCCGCCATGAGATCGCGCCGGAGCTCATCCCGCCACGCACTTATCACAGATTCACACTAATATACATATGCCAACATAATAGGTATAAAAGGTAAGACAAAATTAAAATTATAAATATATAAAAAAACAGTTGGCACACAGCAAGAAAATTATTTAAAGAAAATATTTGGTGAATATTTATTAAAAAAAAAATTCTATTAACTACTGTAAAGTACTCGTAGTACATCTTATCTACCTAAATCTTACAAATTATGTAGTACGTAACCTTCGTGAACTCACTCAGCGTACAGGTGAATATATCTATATTATTCGCCACTGAGTTGAGAGTGCGCAGCGCGCGCTCGAGGAGGATAGTGCTCCCGGCCGGCACCACCAGCAGCCGCGCCCGCCGGCGCCGCGCTATGTACTCATCCGGTACAGAAAACCCTAATTCTACCAGTATCCCACAGATTTCTATACTACCTCTTAGAACTTCGAAGAGGTATACGGCTAGCGCCACTTCTCTCCTGGCTTTTAATCTACAATAGTATCCTACCAAACCCAGACAGAACAAGGTAGGGTACAATAACGGGTATATCTACTCCATACAACTTTGAATATATATGTATTTATGTACCTTATTTTGTGTGCATTAAAGTGTAAATAAATAAAATATAGGAATCGAATGAACTTGTTTTGAGTTCTTTTAATCACGTCCTTATATTTTACTTCACTCGGACTCCAAACGGTCGCTCTGTACCTTTTCGAGATTACTCTTCACTAGAGCCTCGTAATAGTGCTCAATCTTATGCTATGCTTTTCTCGAAAACTATTGTTATTGGTAGTTACGTTTCAGATTTTAAGTGGTCAAAAATCATTGACGGGGTGCCGCGGAAGGCCTAACGGGTTGCCGTGGCTCCGGCTCGAAGAGCAGGAGTGGTTTTTAGTCAGTAAGGGACACTGACACTCCCTCCCGCCTAACCCAAGGTGGGAGAAGTCGTAGGACGATTCGCCCCCCGCAAAATGGGTGCTGTACTTGCTGTCGCCCATGGGCAGGTGGTTCTTTCTATTCATGGAAGTAAAAAATAAAAATCAAAATAACATGTAACACTAATTATATTTCATAACTTACATACATATTATAAAATCTACAAATTAACTCTGGCTCGCTTCTGCACTGGTCTTGGCTGCCTGATCCCAAGCACCAACCTCTGTGAGTAGATCTTTCTTGGATTCAAAATACTCTTTGTACCACATGATATGGTCTCTCTTCTCCTGTACTGTATAGAATGCGTTTTTCGACAAACCAATACATACAAGTTCCATAAAATGTCTGATTGGACCCTTCTTGGGGCACCAGCCTTCGAGGTGGGAGTCTAGGAAGATGTGCTCCGAAAAGTGAACATTCTGCTCTTCTTCTAAACCTGGAATAGAAATAAAAAATATATTAGCTAGTAAAATAGAGTTGTAATATACAAAAACAGATAGTTATTATTAAAGACCAACATTAACAATATCTCCTTGTGCAAGTTCCAAAAACATAAAGCGATTGGGTACGGTTATTATTAAATTACCTTGTTCATTATCAATAGGGAATTTCCAGATCTTGCCCTGCTCTGTCCAGAGAATCATCTTCTGGAAGTAGTTGGCGGGCTGCTGTAAGGTGGCAAGGGTCAGTTCTCTTTGCTTCAGCTTCTCCCAGACGTCTAGTGTCGTACCATAGTTGGCTTCTTTAGCTTTGAAGATACCTAATGGTTGCCCACTGAATATGTTCACTACTGTCGGCTGCGATACTGCTGGTCTGTAATAAGTTATATAATTAAAATTGTATTGTAATGATGATGTTATTTATTTATATATTGTATGTAGTTGTTTGGTTATTTATCTGTTAGTTTTAAGTCTGTTTCCTATCCCAATTTTCAGAATCGGTGGTACCTTTGTACTTTAATTTTATGTATGTGTTGTCCTTTATGTTGTATGTGTGTACATAAATAAATAAATGATTTGACTGCACGGTTGGTGCGGTGGCTGGGGATCCGACTGCTGTGCAACGTGTCGCGGGTTCGATTCCCGCACGGAACAACACTTTGTGTGATCCACAAATTGTTGTTATACAAGTTCACATAAACAATGACACCCAGACCTGAGGGTGTCATTGTTTATGTGAACTTGTATGTTTGTAAACGCACCCACGAGACAGGAGAAAATCATAATGTGGGGCAAAGATAAAAAAAAATGATGATTTATTTTTGGAAATGTGTCCTGTAAATAAAAAAATATTGTTATCGTTTCTAAATGCCTTCTTGGTCTAATTAAAATAAATGATTTTGACTTTGACTTTAGCAAAACAAAGTTCAGAGAATCAATTATGTGGCAATATGATTTTTTCCTTTTAGAAATTTAGAGTCTTCTGTATGTAGTAGTTCCATGGTCAAGCCAAAGCTATTATTATTGCATGTAGTCTAACATCTAGAAAGTAAAAGTATAAATGAAAACTTACGTTCTTCGTTCTCCTCTTGGTTCACCATCAGCAGGCTTGGCCTTCCTCTGAGAGTACCTCGTCTCCTGTGTTACTTTAGTTTTAGACACAAGACGCTTGACTTGCTGACCTCTTGTCTCCTGTGGTTTCTGATCCTCTCCCTCTTTTGAACGGTCCACCTTCATGCCAACGAGGAGATCACTGTAAAAAAAAATTGTGCAATTAATTCTACTTAGCTTAAAATTTTGTGAAATTCACTTTAAGGGCTTGTCTACAAAGTACCTGTTAGTAGAGTAGAGCCTGTTTACAACTATTACTTTGAGACAAAGTGTATGGGTGTATGGGTAGTGAAACATGGATTATTAGTACATAGACATATATTATCAGACAGCCACTTACTCAAAGACCATGGATGGCTCTAAATCCAAGCCTTATTTTTACTTTAACATTGGAACTAAATAATACAGGACTGTTCTGTTTTGTTTTTTTTTCTTTTTATAATTATTTGAGCTGTATAACATCTTGGTTTTATGATGTAATGTTATACTATTTAATTGAAATAAATAAATGAATACCTAAGAGTAGTGGATGACTGGTTGATCTTGCCCAGCACCCTGGACAGCAGCTCAGCCTCCGTCTGCTTCACATTCCCACCAATAGCCTGCGCCACTTCCCCAGCAGCTTTTGTGATGCTTTCCTCTGAAAATATAAACAGGGTCTTTTTATGTTGATGACCTCCTTTAAGAATTATGTTTAGAGCTCCTTTCGCCTGCAATACAGGATTATCCTAGTGCAGGCATCTAACTTTATGAGATCAATTATACTTACTTAAGAATTTTTTTTTTGTATTTTGCATTTGTTAATTATGAATAAATTTTATTTTTATTATTTTTTTAAGTAAACTTTTTACTTTCTTATTCATCTCAAGAATAAGTTTTCATTTTTATTGTATCTTGCAGATGCTATCATATCACTTTTACCTTAAAATTATACAGATACCTTTTACATAACTTAGAGTTAAGAATAAAGAATATATAAAGATCAAAGATGTACACTTATAGCATTTCGAATACCTACACTATTATTATATGTTATTAATACTACTCATACACATTTGCCAATAATTATCAAAACATTACCTATTTTCTCTGTTTTGACTTCAATTTCATCGCCCTTCTTACGTCTCTGTATAACTGGTGCAGTAGCAAACTTATCCTTGTATTCACTTTCCTTAATTTTCGGTTCAGCTAACATCAACTTCAAGAGTTCCTGGATCTTTTCAGTGGCGTTCTCTGAAGACTTCTGTGTTACTACAGGTTTTTCTTTAGATTCTGGCACTTTTCCATCGCCATCTGATTGCTTGTCGGATAAACATCTGACTATAACCCGAAAATCTCGTCTGAACCGAAGCCTGAAATACATAGGTTATTTAATTAATGAACGTACCAGAGATAAATTGTGCAACAAAGGAATAAAAATAGAACTGTTTTAATTACGGTACCTTGTCAGCATTTTTAATTTATTATACGAATATTTTTATAAATAAAAACAAAGACGACCACAATTTTTGAGGTTATAAAATAGCTGAGTTCCAATTCACGTTAAATGACAGACAAACGCATGTCAAATGGATTTTAGAAACAAATTACCTATTACTCGTGCGTAACGAAACGTAATGGGTACGTTCCGTTACTCGTTAGTATAAAAGGAATTTTATGTATGGATTCGTAATATTCATTACTTTTTTAATCGCGATGAGGTGTGCAGAGAGAATTAATAATTTGATATAACATTACTTTAATTAGAATCACCAGTTACTTCTACTTTAAGCGTTTCTTATAAGCAAAACGCACATAATTCTCAGATATAGCGTACCTATGGTAATTTTCAGGTTTAGACAATCCAAAATTCAAAAACACTTTGCTCAAGACGCCTTGCTCGGTAGTCTCGTTTGCGACTGCAGTACCAAATTCTTTGTTCAATTTGGAAGCAGTGTTGCAAAATTATCCGCAAGGGCGGCTAGACACTGGAGAAGCTGATTGTTGTTGGAAACTCCGAAGGCAAGAGATCGCGTGGGCGTTCTCCAACAAGATGGACCGATCAAGTAAAAGACTCGCCCTCAAAATTTTGCGACTGTAAGAGACGCGTTGAACAGAAACCGCTGGAAGCAGATCATCCGCTCCAGGTGCAATCCTGATGCTGACCACGATCCTCAGACATGAGGGAACGACTAAAGAGAGAGAGTTCCAAAATTATACCCACTTTTCGTGAAATGAGGAACCCATGTTTGAGGAATTACTGCATATTCGTGTACTTAATTATTCAAAAAGGATTACTTCTAGGAAGGGTGACTGTGGAATATAAAAATAACAAAAGAACAGATGTCATTTGTAAGGCACATTTATTTGTGGACGGGAGTCATCTCCAAAAATATTATTATACAAAGAAATACACGAACAACGTATTCCAAATAAATTCAAGTAGACAATGAACTTAACTATACATTCTGAATTTTACGAAATCATACAAATTACATTTTATTGCTAAAGATATCACATTTTTCTATATAATTGACTTAAATATAACTAAGTAACTAGTCAATGTAACTTGAGTTTTGTTTTTATCAAATAATTAAACACATAAATAACGCGAAAATAAAACACAGTTTTACTTCTTACATTACTTTCGTATTTTGACTCGATTACAAATCGATAATTTTATCGAGTCAATACGATTCATCGACTGGAGATTTTTAAACTGAGTAAACCTGACCCTATTTAAGCTGTCTTTAACTTAAACAGAAAATATAAAAAATAGTAAATTATTTCCTATATTTTCGACTTCATATTACATTTGAATAACAAAATTGCTTGAGAATAACAACTTACATTACTATGGAAGCTCTGACAATGGCGTCTATATTTCTTTTATTATTATTATTTCAGAAGCAATCATAATCGCTTGACCTCTTATTTAAAAATGTAACTTAACATAAATGCGACAAGGTTTCTATTTCGGAAACTATGTTGGAAATGTGATTGGTTACTTATTTGAATGTGTCTGAACAAAGATTGAGTCTACATGAATGAACACTGTTTCTAGTTATAGTACTTACATTATTGCATTTTCGAACTATGTATTGTATACCTCCAGTATTACATTTGTATTTATTACTAGGTATTTCTTATTTGTAAACACACTATTGCTATATTTTCTAAAGTTGAATATCGAATTTACTGGCAAACATGCTTTTCAATTTTTACTTTTTTAATGCCCGAATACTGAAACGTTATTCAATTTTATGTCGCGCTGAAGTATACTTCTGTCACTACAAATTCTTTGTAAAATGACAGAGACGGCACGATATTTAAGTACCTAACTTAAAATTTGAGTAGCCTTTCAGTATTCGGGCGTAAGAGTGTGGAATGAGGTCTTATATGACAAATAGTTTAATGTCTGACACAGAAATGGACAAGATAAATGCCATAGAATTTTAAATGTTACTTACGAGTAACTTTGTATTACGTCAAAAGTACTTATCTATATTAAGTTTACGAATGTAATATGTTCGCTCTAAGACAAGGCATTCTATCAAATACAGGACTGCCTTAACATTATAATACCAAAATAATGGTAACTTAAACTATATCTAGTAAGTAGAAAATAGTACAGTGTCAATATTGCTATTACATACTTAACAAATTGTTTACCTATATAAGACACAAGTCAATGCAATTGATGCTTTTGAGCAACTATGTAAAATAAGAATATTTCCAACTTATAACAATAATATGTACAACAATGACTGTCAAATTAATCGTTAATAAACACTAACTGAGAAATAAACATTTGTTATTTTTTTTAACACGACAATTTGGTATGTAACGTGGGATCATACTAACCAATTAGGAGATCAAATTAACTGGTAAATTGGCAACATAATTAAGGAGTTGGCGCATACAGTTTTACAAATTAATCCTCTATACAAATTACTACAGAAGTGAGACTTATTACCAAAATACTTTTTCAAATAATTTCGTTAATGCAACCTTACCACGCGTCCCGAAGATAATACAAGAAATTGGAATCGTAAATCAATATTATGAATAAGTACAATACACAAAGAATGTGATGTGTCCGTAATTCATTTATTTACATTATGGCACGCGTTATCACCTTAATATTAGCTTAAGTCCAATGTTACCGTGAGCTTCACTCATATTACAAAGTCTAATGTTACGTTCTAATACATAGCTAGCACCAATCTTCTCACTGGCAGTGATACATCATCACACCCCGCTATACGTGAGCATTACGCAAACAGTTACTGACGAGAATATTGTTTTACAGTGTTATATTTTAAAATATTAGAGCTGCTGTTAACTAATATACTATGTAAGGTAATTGTCTTGTTTTTTATTCCACATGTAGTCATCAAAAACCTGAGTTTTTATCAGACAGGTTTAGAAAACAGAAATCAGTGGTTCTGCTTGACTTTAACATAACATAACATCACGCCTTTTATCCCGAAGGGGTAGGCAGAGGTGCACTGTACAATGTAACACCCACTTTTCACTATTTATGTTATGAGTCCCATGTAATAAGATTTTTCACACAATTCCAGTCTCCGTGCTACTACTGAGATTTTTTAAAACCCAGTAGTACATTGCCCGACCCGGGAATCGAACCCGAGACCCCTTGCCCGGCACTTGCGATCACTCGGCCAACGATGCAGTCTTTGATCAAGATGCAAATCGACAACTTGTAATTAATACTAATTTATGTAAATACATACAAGTTTTATGATGAGTCTGGAGTGCGCCTATTGCTAGACACATGCTTATAATTCCAGACTCCGTGTTGCTATTAGGAATTTAATATATAGTTGGTAATTAGATTGAGCTGAAGCGCGCCAGTCACTTTTACGAGTATACAGGCGGCATTTTACTGGTAAAACAGACAAAAAACCCCTTTCTTCCATCTATCTAAACATTATACCCAACCACTTATTACACATCATGAACCACTGAACTAGATTCGGGGATTTTCTTCTATATACATGTTAATTCCCGTACATATTATGACTGTTAGAATACTGACCTTAATACAATCACCGTTACCACAGTTTTTTCTGTTTGCGTAATGTCACTTGACTCATAGAGTTGGGGGTTTCATTCGACATACATTCTTATTCTTTACCTTACTAATTCACAGCCTATTAGGAACTAAGTTTTACGAACCCGAAGTAGCTGTACCCTGGTCGGAGCCATACAGTTCTGTTCGGTTCTCTTTGAGCAATGTTCACAGTGTCCCCTTTGTAAAGCCTTGCGATTGTTTGCACGGAACAAGACATTTGAGATTTGCTGAGCGGACGGTTGCTCGAGTCGTCTCCTGTTGCACAAGTTGAGAGCAGACGGGGATCCTTCCCCGTTTGACGCGCCCATATGTAGTAGCAGTTCGGTGATTGTGTTAGGTACACCACCTGCAAAGAGTAAATAAGAGGTTTAATAATTATATACGAAGATTTCAGTTTCTTTTCTACTTTCTTTAATTACAACCATTAGAAAGTACGTCGAGGGAAAGTATTTATTCTGGGGAAAATTTAACTAGGTGGTTATTGATTCGTAATTAAAATATTCCCTGCGGTAACCACTTAGAACTAATCACCGATTATGACGTATAACCACAGGGCTTTACGTCCATCTTTACTTGTAGCATGTTACATTCAATAACTATCATTACTTTGCGGTCGCAGGAACCTATTTTCTTCACGGTCAATGTTCCCTAAGTTGCCTTACCAGTTTGTATATTTTAAAATAAGTAATATTTTACACTAATTGACTTTCTTTGAAAATTTTATCAGAGGAATAAGTTTGAACATTTGACAATTCTTCCATACTGAAAACTATCAATTGTACATTTTATTCTACAGTTAAGAATTAACTGGTGATTGAAAAATCGGCTCTGGTTTACAAACTGAGGTAAAGTATACTATGTGTTAGTCATGTTGTTTAATTGTAACTGGCCAAGTTAAGTAAGAACTACCTTTATTGGGATAAAGATGGAAAATTTTCAGAAAGTCTAAGTTAAAAATAACTAAATAAAATAGTAGTTTTTAAAATCTATGTTTAGATTGTAAATACTCGCAATATTGTAATTGTATGTATACGTATGTATATGATTGATGTATTAAAACCGTACACATATGTAATGAACGGTATTCTGTTATGTATGACAATGGAAGTGAGTCATTCATAAATATCAGAGTCAGTTAAATAATTTTACAGTGATTTTGCATAACATGTATTTAATGTATCCTTTAATTTATTAACATAATATGACCACAATTGTTATTCGCCAAGCCAGAACCAATGACACAGAATACTAGCAGTGATTTAATTTGTATAAAATTTCTCTTAACACCAGATTTGTGGGTACAGTTTAAATTCTGATATTGACTACTTTTTTAGGCATGGATTAATTAGAAATTATGGAGTAGCCTCCTATTACCATTTTAAAATATTATCGGATCGTAGCAAATCCATACAACTAAAAAAATGTATTTTATTTAACAGAATATTAGTATTTTATCTGACGTATACTGACCATGCTGTGAACGATAATTAATGATATAAATTTATTGTATATAACGTTAACTGTCATGGACGAACCGTATCTAAAATTGTGAGTACGATATCAGAAACAGATTCGTCCCATCACTCGTACCCAAGCAAGCGAGGCTTTTTATAAAATTAAATATTTTTTATTAAACATTCTCCTAAGCCCCAATGGTTATTTTTCCCTCTTAAATGATTTTTTATCATTTACGTCTTATGCGGTATGCCCATACAAGAGTAATCATTATTGACTATAACTAAGATCTGAAGATAGAAACCAGGACCTCATGTTGAATACACAATGATAAGTAATACCATAAATACCATAATACTTAACTACCACTAATTATGTTAGGAATTTGTTCACATGTGGATACTGCGAGAATTTAAGGAGATACTTTATCTTCTCCCTGCTACCCTTATCCTTAATTAGGTGGGACTTTACTATTTTCCTATACATCGAGCAGTTAGCAGTCACCACTTTAGACTGCGCGATACTACTAAATTATCGAAATAGAAATAAAATTACCCGATCGATCGATCTGTGTTTTTTTTTTATATTTGATGGATCGACGTTTGTCCACTATCTAGCCTAGTGGTAAGCGATGATGCGGTCCACGATGAAGCACGTCGGCTCATAAGCAACCTATTCACTTTGACCTTCAAGACACCCGGGTTTCATCAAAAACCTCTCTTTTGGACGCCGCCTTTAATATGAGTAATTGGAGCCACTCGAGTAAGGAGGCAAACCACTAGTCCCGTAGGCTATCCACAAGACCGCCTTTATAACCTTATACTATTAAGTATATGTATAAAGCTGATGATTGTTTGATTGCGCAAATATCATGAACTGCTGGTCCGAATTAAAAAAATCTTTTTGTGTTGTATCAATTATATTCCATTTATCGAGAAAGGCTATAAGGCCTTAATCGTTACTAATATTATAAATCGGAAAGTAAGTTTGTTTGTTTGTATGTTTGTTCCACGTTCGCACCGTAACTACTAAACCGATTGCTTTGAATTTTTGCAGACGGAAGTTAGAAGTCTGGATTAAATAATAGGGTACTTTTTATCCCGGAAAATTGATATTCTCGAGGGAAAACGAAATTATTGGTATAGATGGCGCTGTGTGTATTGGTATATGTCACATAGGCTACTTTTTATCCTTTTGTGACGCGAGCGAAGCCGCGGGTAAAAGCTAATAGGCTATAAAACACCCGTTTAATAGGTGCCGAGCAGATCGGACGAAACCGCGCGGCAGTACCTAGATTTCTATTAAACCGATTAAAAGCTACAGAATGCACCTGCATACAAAAGATGATGCAAATATTTCCTTATTACTCAGTTAACAGTAACGTCGGCTACATACCTGAGCATAAATTAAATACAGGCCGCCTTCTTTGATGACGACGAAATTGTTCGTCAGCTCGAACTTGTCTGCGCTATTCTTCGAAGACACCTCCTCATCTCGAATCCAGGGACCTATGATTGCTGTGGAAGAAGAAATTGGGAATAAATAAACATATAATACACCATACTCAACATTCGTTTGTGACAAGATACTGGATCATATATTTATTTCGGCAGTTTTCTATATATATATAAATGAATCTTCTTTTCCCTTGGTCATGGCATCATGCGTGAATGGCAGTACCGATTCTACTAATTTTTTTTTTGTTGTACCTATTTGTTATTATTAGAAGAAGGTCTTTAAAAAATTGGTTCGATTCCCGGGTCGGGCAAAGTATTACTGGGTTTTTAAAAAATCTCAGTTTTAGCACGGAGTTAGGAAATGTGCCCGGTATAAGGCAATAGGCTCACCCCCTATTACATGGGACTCATAACATAAATAGTGAAAAGTGGGTATTACTTTGTAAAGTGGCATTAAGTGCCGTAATGTTCACCTCTGCCTACCCCTTCGGGGATAAAAAGGCGTGATGTTATGTTATGTGTTATGATTAAAAAATATGTTACTGTCGCAAAAAAAGGCCAAAATGGTTATCACTTTCATTTTCGGATCAATTAAAAAAAATATTATTAGTAAGTAAGTCAATAGTCCCCAAATTTTTATCACTTTATAAGTTAAATATTTAAAAAAAATGTCGCAGTTTCGATAGTAACGATAATAAACAGTGACACAGTATACCCTACTGACATCGTTCTTGATCTTTAATGTTGCGCACACGCATTTGATAAGCAGCTGATATTCGGCCATAATCTTATGTTTAATAACAGTACTTATGCGAAATTATAATGAAATGCTAAATCAAAATATAATCAGGTTAATACGATGTCTTGTTTTCCGTGATAGATATGTGTATTTGTGAAATAGGTTTGTAAATTATTTAGTAATTAATTTGATATCAATGATAATTGATAAGTAACAAATAACGTTCGTGATTTAGAACGTAATTCAGTTGTCATTCGTTTGTTATTACTTATTTATATTCTCTCATAGCAATCATTCCATTTTTTAAAAAAATAAAGATAAATGGTAAAAGTAGAAGGTCAAAAGTCAATGAATATTTAAGTAATTCAGTCTTTTTCGTTTGTTAGACATGAAGTAAGGAGAAATTAAAGACGAGTTTTACCCAGTGTTTAAACATTTGAACATTGAATATTAAACTACCTTATTTTTTATGAAAACGTCTCTGCCCCGTTTACTAAAGGAATTTTTTCTCTGTGGCAATAATATTTTTTTATAACAGCTGGATTTTTATTTAAACGGCCAGTCGTAAAACCCAAAAATGTATTAAAATGTGTTCTGAAAATATTATCCTTAATAATTAATGTCATTTTATTCCGTTCCAAAATATATTTTATTTAAAGCGAATTAAATAAAGCACTGGATTTAACTGCGTATGAGTGGTTACTGCAGTGCAGATAAATATAATTATTGAGAATAAAATTAATATGGTTGTAATGAACTGAATTAAGGTAATGTCGCGTCAAAAACATAGGAAAATTATTCATTACTAATCAATACTAAAGTAAAAGTAATATTTAATGACATAATGGTAGGTAGGCAGACACGCAGACATTAGGTACCTATTGTGGTGACAATTAAATTTAAATGGATTAAAAAACAAAATGTTTCTGTTTGTACTTAGGTACCTAAGAATTGCCTACCTCTTTCATTAAACATTTCGTTACCATAAACGGATTAAACCCACACCCATATTAAAAGAAATTGGTTTACATTATACCTCTTTTAGGAAGAACCAGCTTTAAACATGTTTGTTTCGTTTATAAAGCCTTTTACGATTCAAGTGCAACGATTATCGTCGTTTAAAGGTACGCTTTTGCAATTTAAGCAGTACGGAACTAACTTAACTTTTACATTAAGATTTAAACCACGAAGAAGTACAAATAATTTGAAGTAATTTTGTTTTGTAAAATTAGAAGAACGATAATATTTTTAAACATATTATTAGAAACAAATAATAGATGTAATATAATTAAGTCTATATAAAGCCGAATGACATAATTATATACGTTTATAGGTGTTTAAATGCGAGTACGATGCCTTTTTTGCGTTCCCTAGATGGCGCTTGCGTGGTTTAAGGCGTCTTATGTCAAATCAAATTAATGCATATTTTATTAAATAGTAATGAGTGCCTACCTATATTGTGTTGTAATATTAAATATTATTAGACTTATATCAGTTGGCAACCTCTTAACAAGTTTACAGTTGATAACACATTTCCAATTATTTTATTATCTTGAAATAGAAAGTTGTGTGCATCATCGATATGATAAACTGTTTATAATTATTATAGCACAAAATATTTTAATTTAATTCCCGAAGTAGACAAAGGCACAATGAATGTTATATTTATCGTTTATTTTTCTATTTCCACGGTACGAGTTTCATAGTCTCTTATAGAAAATAGGGTACCAGTCTATAGGCATTCATATACAGAATATAGAAAATTAGGAGGCTCAATATTTTTTGCTCGATGTTCAGCCATTCCCTAAACAAAGCAGTATAATATGTAGACTATTTTTTAAATATACTTACTACTTATTTACCCCAAGAAAAACACGTGGGAACTTTTTAAACTATGAACTTGATAAACGAATGTTTGTTTATGTTATGGCAATAGACGACTTCCTAAAGGGAAGTCCCCGTTATCTAAACTGGAGTAAGTATATGTTATTAATGTAGGTTTATGTAACAGATCATCACGCCTGTACATCCCCGTATAGACAGAATTAGTGTAATGTTAAAATAACACTTTTTGCTTAATTATCTTATTGGTAAGTAGGTGATAGCGACAAAATATAACTACTTATAGAAAAGTGGATACTATCTGTATGAATAACTCCGTCTATGTACGATAGTAGTCTATTTTAATTTATGTCAAAAAGTATAGGTGCTAGACGATTAAAGGCTTTGAAAATTAATAAATTAGCCATATTTTCTCTGACTTCCAATAGCTCAGATGATATGGATACAAGAGCTCAGGATGTACACAACAAGAGCTGTTGAGCTTATAACTTTAAGAGTTATTAATAGCATACTTAATTCTTAAATCAACAGTCCAAACAAAATTTCGAATAAAAAGCGGTCTTTATTTTATTCCCAATAAGGATTGTTTTTCGTTGTGTTAAAATGCGGTAGAGTGTAATAACAATAATTTCGTTACAGTAGCCCAGTTACAGTTTCAGTGTCGTCAATTTGTTTCAAGGAAAATTTAGTTGATAGACTTGAATGACTTGAATCAATAGTCTAATATTGTCCTTGCTTTTAAATCAATGCTTGTTTTGAACCATCAAGTAAATATAGACACATTATAGACTGTCTCTCCGAAGTCAGAGCTGTCGAGGACCCAAGTCGATTACCAAGCAAGGAATTTCTGGTTCGACTTCTTTCCTTGATGGGGCGAACCCATTACCCTACAACCCTACACCAATATTCTGGACCAGCGCCTGGTGTAGTATGGCAATGGTGATTCATTTAAAAAAGAATCATACACTCATCACATTTTCGGAGTAAAAATCCAAGTTAAAGTCAAAGTTAAAATTATTTATTTCAATTAGACTAAGAAGGCACTGTTACGTCACGTACACACGGAACGTCAAAACAAAATATTTAAATATTGAAGAAAAAATATCAGTCTGTAGTGTAGGTATTTGCTCGTTCCAAAGTGTAGATTCCTATGAGAAATACGAGCAAGAAGGAGTTTCTTGCTCGTTTTTCTTAGGTATAGGTTACTCTTTTTCAATCAGGTTCACAATACAATTCTTGGTTACATTGTTTCGTTGGTTCAATTATGTGAGATCAACATCAATATTTAGTCAAGGATTCAAGAGGAGTATTTCATGACAATTAAATTAGGTAAATAAATTATACAAGCGACTGTTTCTTCCATACAAGTTCTAAGACCGAAACAGCAGCGTGTTAATTTTGTTGATCCTTTATGTTTAGCTTGCCTAGGTAGGTACATAATAGCGCGGCGTATCCCGATCTCGGTTAAAAAACGCGATGCTTATGTCAGGGTCACGCAGTCGCGATTTTTTTCTATTGGCGTCGCACAGACCAGTCTATAAATTGCCATGAACGCTACATGTGTGCCTGCCTTAAACAGACTAATAATCTTTCTATTTAAAATATGTGATAATAATTCCAAAATGTCAACAGACTATACGTTTGGACAAAGTCGTTATGACGCCATTTCAAATCTAAGCCGGTCTTTAAATAACTATTAATTAAGCCAGCTATTACTTGGTAGCAACTAAATTAATGAATGTAGATGATACAAAAGGAATTATGTAACTTTGTCTGGAAGCTTAATTATTATGAGCAGATTAATTGCGAACATACAGCCAGCTAAGTTTCTTTACACTACACAAAGTAACTATGTCAATTATACTAACTTTTTCACATAGGATTATAAACTTTATTACAAGTACTGATAGATAAAAATAGGGTGTATGTCATGTGTACACAATGCAAATATCTAGGCGTATCCTGTCTGTGACACATACGCATTCATTATCATTTTAATCACATATTTACAATTGTTTTAGTTCTGTAATAATATAAAAATCGTATTTTTCTTTTGTTTACTTGATTTTAAAGCTCAACCGCCAACAATATTTTTGAATTTAGAATGCAAAAAAGAAATGCAAATCTTTAGCACACTATTGTTTACTATTTGGCTGGTTTAAAAAGAATTTGTAATGAATTAGGTTAACAAAGAGGTTGAATCAATGAAGAGTTCCTTATTGCTATTAACGTAGATGGTCCATCTATACTCTATACACTTCACAGTTATGTGGCCGTTGCCTAGCCAACATGTATCATACATAAAAGTAGCCTATTAAACAAATACCAAGCTTACCACATTACATTAAGTGCTAATTCTCTTTATGTTTACTCGGTAAACAAGGATTTATCAGTTCAAGAGGTATTATTATGTAATGAAATAGTTATACTATTATGTTATCTTAGTCATATAGTAATATTGCAGCTGTTTATTTGTTACTACTTTTTATACATAGTAATATAAAAAATGGAATGCTTTATCTTCCTTTGTAAACGATTACAACAGAGTTATCATATTGTTCTACATTGAATGTTTAGTATTTGTTTAGAAAAAAATAATACTTTAAATATTAATACTCACATTGGGTTCCCAAATTAACTTCTTTCTGGCCACCGTTATATTGAACCACAACCAACTCTGTAATTAATTAAATTAAATGTTATGAGTGACACACAGAACATTAAATTTTATAAATATAATATGGTTATTAAAGTAGGTATTATTTATAATTTCATGTAAACAATTTTATAGCTACAATATGAATATTGGTACTTGTGGATATTAACCTTTTTGTAGGATAGTCAGGTCATAAACTGGAACATTGCCTTTGCTTGAATTTTTTTTCTTAGAGTCTACCAAATGGATATCTTCTCCCAGATTTTCGACATAGTATTTTTTAGCACTCTGTGGAGTGTCATCGTCATCAAAGGGCCTTGCTCTCGGCTCCCGCGCGTCGCCCTCAGCCGGCGGCCTTGGGCGGGCCACCAGTGCACTCTGTACCCCTCTGTCCTGGTTCAAGTTGTGTAAGATAAAGTGGTCGTTTATCATGTCCAGCTGTCTCCTCATCGATATCATTTCGTTCCAGTAGTAGAACGCTATCGAACAACTTAATACCATGCAAATAACGCTTAACAAAAAATTCAACACGAACAAAAGCTTTATTTTCTTGGAAGACGCTATTGAGAACGTCGTATTTATATGCACGCCGAGGTCTGATGGTTTCTCTGCAATCAATAAAATACCACGTTATTAACATATTCGTGCCTTAAATTATTATTTCATTTTATAAACATTTAAGTCACCTGTGTTGAGATGTATGACAGTCCCTTCGGGTGAATTTACTTTTGTATTTTTGCCAGTATTCAGAAAAATGTTAGCCGCACCTGGTGAGTTCAAGGGGACACCTTCGCTCATATGAATTTTCCTTTCGCCATCCATTATGAATACTACGATTACTTGTTTATAGTACGAGGTAGTACTACTATTCGGACGTAAGCGTACGCGTCGTCGGAGATACCTAAACAAAGGATGTAAAGCTCAAATAAGTTCGCACTGACCGCACATGATAACCGCAAGTTGATAAAAAACACAACACACTTTACATACCATGTATGTATCCGTTGGCACTGTATTTATTGCTTATTTTATTATTATAATTCCTTACTAGAGAAATACACTTGCACTAAAATCTTTCATTATAAAATAAAACCAGTTCTTTGACTTCCATACAAAAAACAAAAAGTAAACACAAAACACAACAAACAAAACTTTTCGCTCCTTTGCTTCGTTTCGTTTTTCAACACAACTTCTTATGGCAAAGGCGCGCACGTCGCTGGCTGCCTGACCGGTACCGGTTGCGCGCCAAATTCGAACTGAGCGTGCGAACTGCGAACAGCGATGCGACGCTAGCGAGTGAATGCGGAATGACCGCGATTAGCAGGCTGGGATATATTCACCGATGGACGGTGGACGATGGATAACTTTTACAAATGGTACAGGCGTGCATGTTTATATTGGTTTTGTTCGTGAAACAAAGTGAATTTGAACCAATTCAGCAAATACAATACATCGATGCTAACAAATAAAGTACCTATTCTAATGACAAAGATTCTATGAACTTTATAAGTTGACCTACATTAGTCTCCAAATATAATATACGAATAAAATTAATAATTAAATATTGTTTTTTATTTTTAATATTATTGTGTATTTTAACAACAAACAATTAATATAAATTAACAAAGATATTTCATATTAATACCTAAGTAATTAAGTACTTAAACGAAAACTAATACATCTTATAACTTTAATTTGCGGGATATCCCCAAATTACCGACATATTTAAAATTTTTAGATTGGGGCATTTTTAAGTATAGTAGTAAGTAAATATTTTAGATTTGGGGGATTTTAGATATAAATTTTATTTTTTGGTGAGGTGTGTATTGTGTTTCGTTTAATCAATACGGCACATTGTATTTTAGTATAATTTGGTTCTAATTGTTTTCCACGTGGTAATATTAATGTTTGATAAATGCAGACTCTATTTTGGCTATTTTACAGAGGTAAAGTTAGAACAGACAACTTTAGAACAGAATGTAATCTTTTGTACCTGAACGATGCCTTTGTTGAACAGTATTAGCTTTATTTCTCGAAACCCTTATCAGTTCAGGTAATTACCCAAACGGTTGTATAGCGTAGCTTCAAACGTGCTTGGTACTCTAAACAAAAGTGAGGTTTGGGAAGCTGTCGTGTCGTTATTACTTGTAGCCCTTGTAGGTATAGTATTGCACATTTGGATACATTGTCGCGAATCCGCACTGGTATGCGAGACCAGCTGCTCGCGTCTCAGACGAAGTTATCTCGACTGGGGACGGATATAGTCAGCTTTTAGGGATGCAGCGCCGGTTTTAGATCTTATCTGGTAGGTGTGACAAAATTTTATTATTCATTCATACATGTGTTAGGTGACTCAGTTGGCGACGATGTGAAGAGGGGATATGAGCATTATTATATAGACAACACTTAGAATCGATTAAATAGGTACTTCTACTTACTTGAGTAGTATTCCGTAATTATTACAGGATGTTAGAAAAATATTGCGTTTGCAGCTAATACTAAACTTTGAGACGTAGACTGCAACCACGTGCAGGAAGAGGGTGGGTGGTGTTTGTTGTGAAAAAATAAACTACGCCATTGAAATGGGAATGCGTCAATGTCAACATTCAGCCAGATATCTAGCAGTCTCCTGCGATCTTGTTTAATCAGTCGTAGATGCATTCTTTAATTCATACGCAAAACCATACATGAATTTACGCCTTTAAAAAATAGGATAGTCACTATCTACAGAGCGCCACCTAATTGTGATCATTACACAGGTTCTTTATTAGCTTCCATCAAATGGCGACTCATAATACTTCGATCAAATTTAATATAACGTTTAGTTGATCGAAGGTGCTATAGAATAGGTACTTTCAGTACCAGATTATACTATGCCACATCCACAACTAGCTATGTGGTTTCTTAAACTCCAATAAGTCTCCTTTTATAGTGACCAGTCATGGCTTCATCCATTTCTTTAAAATTTTCAAATTGTTGCCTATGTGTAGTTATCTTTTCGATTTTTACCAATATCATCATCATTTTACTTACTTAGACAACAGCAGCTTTAACAATAATAGTGTGCGTATTACCCCTAGCCAGCCCTGTGGACCATTTCTATTTGTGATCAAGCCAAACTCTACACCATAAGATTTCGCAAAGTTATGTACATACCGGCCATGTTTTTACAGCAGGAGCGAGAATAGACTCAGTTACCACTGGATTTACTGCGTGTAAGGTTCAGGCAGAGGTTAAACCCATGAAATTAAGCATTCCTGTGTACTATGCGAGTAATAAAAAACCATATTTAGCAGCACGGTAACGGTATCTAATGTAAAGTTAATATTTTATTGAGACGCTGATGATTACAGAATTCAGCTGTGTCATCCAAATTCAGTAGATATAGTACGTTGTTTTGACGAAATCGGTCATAGTATTTAAAGAACTGTGAAATAGGTCAGCTATTGTAATTCAGTCACTATGGATCATGGATTCGTTGATCGAAAGGACATGGGGCAATATAGGTTTCGAGACTTTTCCAAACAAGTAGGTAATGAACGTCTTCAGAAGTAAAGATAATAAAATGATGTTACCAATCATTGTTACCAATAGTTATATGTAATAGGTACCTACTCATTAATACTTGAGACAAAACAAATACTACATTTCAAGTATTTTCAAGGACTGAAAACAAATGAACTAGATCACCGGAAAACTGGAACGACAAACTAGTTGCAGTCAGGTGATAATTTAATACTGACTGCAAATATAAATGGTCTAAAGTGCAGAAAAGATACTTCGTCACCACATTGACTTGGATAACTTACATAGGACCATGGAAACTGTAATCTATTCACTGTTGCACTGGTGGGATATCCCACTGGTACTCATACCAGTGGGATATCCCACCAGTGCTTCTGTATAAGTTCAGTTCAGTTCTTCAATATAAGTGGAGACAGGTCTCAACCTGTCTCCACTTATATTGAAGAATAGAAAAATATTTTTACAGCACCTCATCACAAGAATTGACGTCCTACGTGTCCATCCGACACAATTAATAATGGGGACCAACATCATACGATAATAAAAGTTAGAATTTTTCATCATTCAGTGGGTCCTTTTGCCTCTATAGGCCGTGGAAATAATGTAGCCTTCGGTAAAGAAGATCAGGTCAAGACACTAGAAACAAAAGAACTCACCAATAAAATCAAGTTGCCGTGACATGAAGTGTCAGCTAAATTCAAATGATAATTGCCTTGATCACATTCGTGTTATAATTACCTAGAATAATTAATGAGTGTATGGTTTGCAAAGAAATTAGAGCTTGCGTGACTCAGTGCTGCCTGACTTGACTCACGCATCAAACTGTACTTTACTACAATCCTTATAGTCATTATTCCAATAAAGAAATGTTACCGGCTTTGTTACACTAACCTCTTTTGTTTTTACTACTCACAACAAAAAAGTCTCGGGAATGTGATACGTCTGGGAACAATGACCTTATTTGATGAAAATTGTAACTGTTCGCAATTTCCTTGAGCCTTATGCGAAATGGAACGTTTAAACTGGTACTCGTTGGACTTGGTAGGACTGCTTCGTTGGCCGAGTGGTCGCAAGTGCGACTGCCGGGCAAGGGGTCTCGGGTTCGATATCCGGGTTATGCAAAATATTATTGGGTTTTTAAAAAAAATCAGAAGTAGCGCGGAGCCTGGAATTGTCCCAGTATATGGCAATAGGCTTACCATGGGGCTCGTAACATAAATAGTGAAAAGTGTTTGTAACATTGTACAGTGGCATTAAGTGCCGTAATGTGCACCTCGGGGGTAAAAGGCGTGATGTTATGAAAGAAAGAAATTTAATAAAATTATTTCACAAAAATTTTTGTTCCCAATCAAATTTTTAGTATTTGTATATACGGGAACACAGGGAACACTCCGGTAAATTTATGCATGTTCAATAGCTCAGGATTTCTTGGATCGTACTTATTTTAAAACTTAGGTAGTTCAATGAAAGCATTAAACCCAATTGGGTACTTTCCTTGACATTGACTGACATTGTATTTAGTATTTTAGTTAAGTATTTTGACAATATACGTTTTGACATATTGACATTGTATTTAGCATTTAAACATTATAAGAAATATTTTAACACTTTGATGGAAATAACACTGATACTTCTATTTACTGTCATGTACCGAGCAAAATCTTAGATGTGTGATTCAATCAATTTACTTGGCATTATTGTAATTACTAGTTTTTTATAAATTTATTTTATAAAGCATGATTAACATAATATTTCTACACCAGCAATGGTAGTGTATGTGAAACAATATTTAATGTAAAACCTCAATGTACCATATACTTGGAAATAAATGACATTCTATTCTATTCTATTCTATTCTATTCTATTCTATTCTATTCTATTGATCAAAAATAAATTATTTAGACTGTTCAATACAATAAAAAATTAAACAATACTCACACTTTAATTAATTGATTTTATGACCAACTTAATTATTTTTCCAGCAAATTTTTTGAAAACAAACATGCTGTTTGGCGCTAAAAAAACGTGACGTCACAATAAATAATCTCGTACAAAATTTATAGAAAACTGTCGTTTTTGACATTTCGAAAAAAGTATTGAATTTGACTAGTTGGCAAGTACCCAATTCAGCAATAAAAAAATGCATGAATTTGTAGGCACTATTTCTTTTTGTAATCAGCAAAATTTAAAACTAGTCATTCAAAATATTTATTAATAGGCAGTTAATTTTAAATCTAGTACAAAAGTAGGCAACGCACATGAGTAGTAATCACTTTCGATTTTCAATCGTTTCACCGTTAAAAATAGCGGTAACTTCGTAAACTTTCTCCGCAATGTTGCAATATTAAAAAATCATGTGTTAAGAATTTGGCGGCAATTTGTTTACTTTTGTTTCCTGCCAGTTTGACCGCCTGCCATTGCCCTAGATTCTCGATACGGTGTTGTTGACACGACATTCCCACCATAGAGACACAGTATAAATATATACAGTAGGTTGTCTAAGGCCGCCCGCCGAGTTATTAGCCTACTCTTGCGTTGATCCCCAGGGTTGTCACTTTTACTCTTAGTTAATATTTTCGAACAAGCAGCCCTTGATCTAAATTTATGAAATGAAAAGCATATTATGATTGAATATTTTATCAATTTATAAATTTAGTAAAAATAAAAAGCTTATAAAAAGATTATTAACTTCTTAAAATAAACTTTAGCTCTATACATAGTATTCAGAAAGTAAATTTGGGAATACATTTATATGGAAAAATGCGACTCGGCTACGCTCTTAACAAATCAGATAAACTGTGAAATAAACAATACAATACCACATTTTCTTATAATATTTAAGTATAGTAGGTAATTACATTT